TAAAAATCCTTTAAATTTCTGTTTATCAATGAAATGTCCTAATTTCAAGGTCGTATTTGAGGGGCAGCTTTGCTGGGTATATGATTCTTGGTTGGCAATTTTTTTTCTTTCAGCGTTTGTATGTAACATCTCATTGCCTTCTTGACTGCATGGTTTCTGCTGAGAAGTCAGAACTAAGTCTCATTGGTTTTTCATTGTAGGTAACTTATCATTTTACTCCAGCTGCTCTCAGAATTCTTTCCTTATCTCTGATTTTGTGACGTTTCATTATATGTCTTGGTGACTTTGTTTTGGGATCTATTCTATTTGGGTTCATACAGCTTCTTGCATTTCATAATGTTACATAAGTTTTCTTTCAACAACTCTTTGATAATTTTCTCTGTGCTTGTTGTCTCTTCCTATTCTGGAATTCCAGTAATTTTTTCGTTTCTTCATGTGAGCTAAAACTGTCTTTCGTCTCTTGGGTATTGTGGGGTTGTCATATTTGTAAAAGCAAACAGTGCAGCTGGTGGACCCAGAGGGGAGAAATCTCTGGGGGCCTCCTTCAAGTCAAGGAGCTTAGAAGAGATGTGACAACAGAGTTCCTTGGCCCTAGATCAAGTTTCTATTAACCTCAGTGTTAACTATGATCAGAGCACTCAATCCAGAAGTAGTCAGTGGAACTGGTTTTAGTGTTTGTTAGGACCACAGAGTAGCTAGGAGCAGGGTAACTGGTTAAATACTGGTCTGGTGGCTCTGTAGGTTTTGTAGGTCTGGAGCCATGCCCACCTGAATCCAGGCACTAAAGTGACACACCAAGTGGCAAAAATGGCCCCCATCTCACACTGGTTTGGCTTCCAAGGAAGAAACTCCAAACTCCTGGAGAGAGGGTCTATGCTGGGGGTTGTTAAGAGTGGGAGCTGGCCACACTTCTGGTCACCAGGGGAGTGTAGGGGAAAAGAAGAAATCATACCTGTGCAAACCTGCTGTTAGGCTTCCCTCTGCTGCCAAAGCTGCTCACAAATGATTGAGCTGTGTCTGGCCAGCCGCTTACCAGTCAGTTGCCCTCTCCTGCCTTCCCTACTTGGCCTTTCCTCCTAGAAAGCACTCCATCTATTTCTCTAATTTTTCTTGTGAAGTTCAGGGTGCCATAATTTTCATCTGTTTATTTTGTCTCTCATATTTTTGTTGTAGAGGGTCCTTGCAGTGCATCTGACTAGTCTGCCATCTTGTCGGAATGGACATCACAAAAGGTATTTTAAAAACTTAGTTTCCTAATTTCTTATTGTTAGTACATAAAATACAGCTGATAGTTTTGTATGTTAACCATGTATCCTGAAGCCTTGCAATTATTTTATAGAAGCCTATGAATTTTATACAAGGAGCTCTGGTAGCATAGCAGTTACCAGTCAGGCTGCTAATCTCACAGTAATCTCTTCCTCGGGAGAAAGATGAAGTTTTCTGCACCCTTGAAGATTTACAGCCTTGGAAACCCTATACAGAGTCGCTATGAGTTGAAACCAACTCCAAGGGACACAACCAGCACCATGAATTTTCTACATAAACAATTATATCATTTGGAATATAAAGTTTTAGTTCTTCCTTTGCATCTATACGCATTTTATTTTTCTTGCCATGCTGCATTCGCTGGGACTTCCAGTATAATTCTGAACATACGTGGTGAAAGCGATCATCCTAACATTTCTCCTAATATTAAAGCTCTGATTTTATTAGAGAATTTGAGCAAGATTCAAAGCTATTCCATCACTACTACCATCTGCTCAGAGACCCTTTTTTCCACCCTTTAGATTTCAAATCTCAATCTTATTCCCACAAACTCTGCTCTTTTTCCTCTTTCCTCTTGACTGACTCACTCCCTAACCCTTTCAAAATACCAAATTCCAATTTATCACCTATATTTAGCTATGGTACTATATAGGAAAAGCACTGGACTGCTAACCACAAGGTCACCAGCAGTTCAAATGCACCAGGTGTTCCTTAAGAACTATACAGAGTTGGTATGAGCGGGAACTAACTCTAGGGTACTGAATAACAAGAATCATTTAAAAGGCAACAGAGGGGTGGGGTTCAATGGCAGAATTTTCACTTTCCTTGCAGGAGACTTGGATTTGATTCCTGGCTAATGAATCTCAAGCACAAGTCACTGTCTTGTGAGTGGAGGCTTGTGTGCTACTGTAATGCTGAACAAATTTCACTGGAGTTTTTAGACTAAGATATACTGAGAATAATCCACGATGAACTTTTAAAACATCAGCTAATGAAAATCTTATGGATCACAATGATCTGATCTTGTGCCATGAGTCAACGGTAGCTACAATAACAACAACCATTTAAAAATTCCTTATGTGTAAAGGTAAATGCTTCACATATATTGTTTCAATATATATGATCTTTAGTCCTTACTACAAAGCTGAAAGGTACATGTAAAAGTTGGACAATGAATAAGGAAGACTATAGATTTGATGCATTTGAATTAAGGTATTAGAGACAATATTAAATGTACCATGGACTGCCAGAAGATTTTGAAGAAGTACAGCCAGAATGCTCCTTACAAGTCAGGATGGCCAAACTTCGTCTGTCACACTTCAGACATGTTATCAGGAGGGACCAACCCCTGTAGAAGGGTATCATGCTTGGTAAAGTGGACAGACAGCGAAAAAGAGACCCCCAATGAGATGTATTGGCATAGTGGCAGCTGCAACAGGCTCAGGAGTAGCAAGGATTGTGAAGTTGGTGTAGGACCGGGTAGTGTTTCATTCTGTTGGGCATAAGGTCACTATGAGTCAGTACTGACTCAACAGCACCTAACAACAACAACTCTGGGAAAATGAGGGTTAACTGCCCAAATTTTTGCTGTTGTGTGTTGTCTATTCAGTTCTGCCTGACTCATAGTGACCTTGTATAAGGGTTTCTGAGAGCAGGTGGTAGGACTGAATGGCCAACTTTGCTGTTAGTAGAATCTAGTGCTTATCCAAGTATTAATTAAAAGTTGGATTAATTATTTTAAAACAAAAGTAAGTTTTTAATTATAGAATCTTTATATATACACACACACATAAATGGAAGACCCGCTATAAACAATTAGGCCCTAAAATATTTAATACTGCATCTTGGTTTATCCATCCCTTTCTACATCGACTAATCACTTCTTGATACCCCTTATCAATATCCAAGGTTCTGCTCTGGGGCTCTACCCTTCATACTAATATATTACATTCTCTGGGCAATTCTATATATTCACAAACCTCAATTATCATCTCTATTTTCAAGTACTTATTTTTAGATGTCTTTGGTACCAAGAATTAGTAATCTTGCTTCCTTCTGTTTCCCCTTTTGAGGTTAATTACATATTTTTCATTAATAATTTTGGGTAGAAACTTTAGTTTTGACATTTCCTTCTCCAGTTATTAATACCTCTCCAGTTGCCAATTCTTTAGATTTAACCTCCAAGGAAACATCTTTTATAACCTAGTTTTCTATTAATAGGGAAACGAATAAATCAATTTAGTATATTCACACAACAAAGTGTTTATTACACAATAGTAAAAATTAAAGATCTGGAACAGGGTTATTCAACTATGGCATTACTGACATTTTGGGCCAGATATTTGTTTTTGGGTTATAGTGTGTGTTGTAAGATGTTTAGCAATACTCCTGGCCTCTATTTACTAGATGCCAGTATGCACCATCACCAGCTATGAAAACCAAAATTTCTTCAGATATGGTCAAATGACCCCTAGGGGGCAAACATCCTGGCTGAGACCCCAATGATTTACAGCTATAAACTATCAACTCAGACAAATGTAAAATGACTTTAAGCAAATAAAAGAATTACACATGAGAGATACTATTCACATAAAGCTCAAAAACATGCAGTATATTATATATTATTTATGGATATAGACATTTAGCAAAAATCCATCAAAAACACACAAGAGGATGATAAAGCACTGAAATTTAGATGGTGATAACCTCCTAAAGGAAGTGAGAAGAATAGGATTAGGAAGGCTTAAACCACATATATATTAACTTGTCTCTTCTGTAAATATTTAGCAAAGCTAGGTGTAAACTGGACAGTTTTTCTAATTACTTTTTGGTATAGTTTCACTTAGCAGATGAAGACAATACCTTCTTAACATTTTTCTTCCCTTTGTCAAGCCATTTCCCACTGGACTGACAATGGAGCTACTAGAGGGACTGCTGGTGTGGCGCTGAAGGAGAAGCACTGGACTGTGAACCAACTATTAGGTTGTTGATTCAAACCTACCAGCTGCTCCTTGGACACCTTACACAGGGTTGCTATGAGCCAGAACTGACTGTACAGCACTTAGCAACAACAGAATCAAATTACACCAATGAGCAACTTAATACTTTGTTTCAAAGGTATTCTTAAGAAGTCAACTTTCTGTTCAGAGTCCAAAAGGAATGTAATTCAATATTATTAACATTAAATTTTATTGGCCACAATTAAAATACACCCAACTATATGTTGATTGGAGTCCTGGTGTGGCACTATGGGTTAATGCGCCAGACTGTAAAGCCATTTGAACTGCAAGGTTGGCAGTTCGAGCTCACCAGCTGCTCCTCGGAAACCCTATACAGGATCACTATGGGTCGGAACCGACTCAACAGCACACAACAACATATGTTTATTACACAACACAGTTTATATATTAGAGGGCAAAACTAGGAGAGGAAAACATTTGTAATAGTTATAGAAAGAAAATTTAACACATGACATTTTTATATAATTACATTTGTTTGTTGAACCTTATATGCAAAATTGAGTATTTTTTAATTCTAAAGGAATAAAGATGAAAAATATACTTAAGATGTGCTAAAAGTTACACTGGAAGTTTGGTTATCACCTCCTTCCTTCTAAAAAGAATAAAAACCAGTATTTAGAAATTTTTTGTTAAACTTTTCTCATTATCCACAGGGTTTTATCTTTAATGCATTATCTTTTGGGTATTATTACATATGTAAAGTTTCATACTTACAAAGTCTTCTTCTTCAAACTGTAACTTTTCGGCCTTGTCTTCTTTCTTTTCTTCCCTAATCTCTGTAGGTGCTTTTTCTTGAAAGGTAGAGCCTTTCCGGGAGTGGAAGCTGCCATTCCAGTGGCGATGGTTCCCTGTGCCACCCCCGCTACGCTGGCTCATGCCATCATGACCCCGGGAAGAGCCATGCCAACCAGATATGTTCCCAGTGATTCCAGAGTATGCTCCTCCCTTAGAAACACCAGAGTCCACAGAATCATGGCGGGATAGGGAGGGCTGATGCCAGGAATCTAGAATTGTAAGGAGAAGTAACACATTATATTGTTTGTTGTTGTTGAGTGCTGTCAAGTCGATTCTGACCCATAGCGACCCTGTATAGGGTTTCCAAGGAGTAGCTGGTGAGTTTGAAGTGCCGACCTTGCAGTTCAAACGACTTTGCAGTCTGGTGCATTAACCCACAGTGCCACACCAAGACTCCCTACCTGGTAATTCAGAAACAACTAAGTCAGATGCTTCCTGATGTCATTTATAAAACTGACAAAAACCTTTCAGGGAATCTTAAGAAAAAAGATTAAATCTACACAAGAGTCACAAAATATATCTCTTTTAAGGCAATTTTTATATCAGCTCACCTAAATAACAGTTTCATGAGAACAAAAGATGTTATACCTAGAAAGCCAAAGTCAGTGGGCAGTAACTAATTTAATTGAGAATTATGTTCACAAAAGATAGTATTTCAAAGTGACATATATGCACTCCTAGCCTCCACCACCTGTCAGTTTGGCATGCAGGTTGCTATGATGCTGGAAGCAATGCTACCACAATTTTAAATATCAACAAGGTCACCTATGTTGGACAGGTTTCAGGGGAGCTTCAAAGACTAAGAATAGGAAGAAAGGCCTGGGGATCTACTTCTAAAAATTAGCCAATGAAATCCTTTTTGATCATAAAAGAATACTGCTAGAGTACTGAAAGATGAACCCATTAGGTTAGGAGTCAATCAAAATACACAGCAGCCACAACAATGGACTCAAGCATCAGGTATATGGTGCAGGATCAGGAATGTTGCATTTGGTTGCACATAGGGTCATCACCATGAGTTGGGCTGGATTCAACAAAAAATAACAGATCCCCAGACTAGGTGTGCTCTGAGTAGCTTAAATGACATCATGAAACTAGGGCATGGCTCACCTCCTGTAGTTCGAAGGGGTCCATTGTTAAAAAAGCCATCAGAGGAATTATGTCGACGACGGCTCACTCCAAATCTGCCTTCCCCTCGGGATAGGTGCTCTCCCTGTTTTTCAAAGGTAGCTGCAGGTGACTAGGATGGTAAAATAAAAAGAGACAAACAGGTAAGTAAATATTAATCTCTTTCAATACCTTATTACATTTTATACTAGGCTTTTAGAATGAAAAACGGTGACAGTTAAGTGCATAATGACCACAACAACAAGACTCTAAATACTAATCTTGCAAAAAATGAGAGACAAAAAAAAAAAAAAAAAAAAGAGAGAGAGAAAAATCAAGACACTTCAATTTGCAACTCAAAGTGACCCTACAGGACAAAGTAGAACTGTCCCATAGGGTTTCTAAGGCAGGAAGCAGACTGCTCTATCTTTCTACCACACAATGGCTGGTGGGTTCAAACTGCCAATCTTTCATCAGGAGCAAATTTCTTAGTCACTCCATGACCATATAAGTTGGTTTACTATAAATATATAGTAAACCAACTTTTACATGCACTGAGAAACCAAAAAAATTGGTGTGACTTGCTTTATCACAGTGGTCTATAATCAAATCCACAGTATCTCTGAAATGTGCCTGTAGACTTTTAGGTTACATAACTGAAAGGAAGCCATTTAAGAAGTTCTATCATAGAAGAATTCTAGTGTCCTTTCCTATTCCAAAGAATTTTACTCTATGACTTTTTTTAGTCTAAAATGAGAAACCAAAGTCTGTAAAGCCATGACAAGTATGGATATGTTGAGTAAGAGCTTGTAGGAAAGTTACAAATAGCTGTTGTAGTTAAGTTCTATCGAGTCAGTTCTGACCCATTGTTGTTGTTGTTAAATACCCTGTCGTGATTCCGACTCATAGTGACCCTGTACAGGCTTTCTGAGGCTATAAATCTTTATAGGAGCAGAATGGCTTATCTTTCTCCCGCAGAACCGCTGGTAGTTTCGAACTGCTGACCTTGAGGTTGGCAGCCTGACTTGTAACCATTATGGTACCAAAGCTCCTTTTTGACCCATAGAGACCCGCACTGCAGTCAATCAGCACATTAACCCACAGCGCCACACCAGGACTCCAACAAGAACTATGTTGTTGTTATTAAGTGCCGTCGAGTCGGTTCCGACCCATAGCGACACTGTAGAGGGTTTCCAAGGAGATGCTGGTAAGCTTGAACTGCCAACCTTGCAGTTCAAATGGCTTGGCAGTCAGGCGCATTAACCCACAACACCATACCAGGACTCCAACAACAACTATGTTGTTGTTGTTGTTAAGTGCCGTCGAGTCGATTCCGACCCATAGCGACCCTGTACAGGGTTTCCGAGGGTGTAAATCTTTACGGGAGTAGAAAGCCTCATCTTTCTCCCGCGGAGCGGCTGGTAGTTTCGAACCGCTGACCTTAAGGTTCGCAGCCCGATTCGTAACCACTACGCTACCAGAGCTCCTTAAACAACAACTATAGTGGGTTACAAAGCTTTTTTTCTAGAAGTTTTCTAAGTCTGGCTTTTTAATTTAGGTTATGATCTATTTCTGTATGATGTGAAGAAATATTTGAGGTTCTTTTTCATTTTCCTATAAAGGTATATGGTGGTTTCACCACCTCAATAAATTACCCTGGTACTTCTGTCTAAAGCCAACTAGACTATTTTTTAATTCTAAGTCCTATTCTACTGCTAAAGCTATGTTTTGCTTATTGTAATTGTTATTGGAAATACTGAAATTGTATTTTCTCTTTTCACTTAGATCACCTTGCTAAAACAATCATTAGATGGGCATACTTTTAAAGTATTTCCCTGGATTCCACATTTAATCCCTCTAGCCTACTACCACCCATCCCCTAAACCTTGGATGAGATTAGGCTTATTAGCATAGTTGGAAATTTCACTACAATTGAATAAGACATTTGGAGTAAAAGGTGTGGATATGGATCAGAACAGAAGAAATCTAAAAGGGGGGGGGGGGGTGAGGGGAGGGAAGGGTTTGATTCTAAAGCTTCATGGAAAAAATTCCAAATGGAACTTTGCTACAAACTTTTTGAAGTCTCTTGGTATTTACATTTCAAAATAGGGATGGTAGGCCATTTCATAAGACTTCTTTCTTTCTCTATCAAAGGAGAAGCCCTGGTGGCACAGTGGTTTAAGCACTGGACTACGAACCAAAAAGTTGCTGGTTTGAACCTACTTACTAGTCACTCTGCCCCTTTGTCCTCAATAATTGACTCCAAACCACGCCCACTGTCTTTGAGTCAATTCCTATTCTAAATGGCAGAGTAAAGGAGCTCTGGTAGCGTAGTGGTTACAAATCAGGCTGCTAATCTCAAGGTCGGCAGTTTAAAACTACCAGCTGTTCCACAGGAGAAAGATGAGGCTTTCTGCTCCTGTAAAAATTTACAGCCTCGGAAACCCTGTGCAGGATCACTATGAGATGGAACCGACTCCACGGAATTTAACAACAACAGGGCAGAGTAAACTGCCCCATAGTGTTTCCAAGGTTGTAATCTTGTTTCCAAATTTGTAAGGAGCTCTGGTAATGTACTGGTTATGAGTTGGACTGTTAACCTCGAGGTCAGCAGTTTGACCATGGGAGAAAGATGAGGCTTTCTACTCCCCAAAGATTTACAGCCTCAGAAACCATATATGGGACAGCTATGCATCAGAACCGACTCTACAGCACATACGCACACTACCTATCTTTCCAGAGGATTCTTGGTGGCACAGTAGGATAAGAATTGGACTGCTAACTTGTAGGTCAGCAGTTCAAATCCACTAGCTACTCCATAGGAGAAAAACGCAATTTTCTGTTTCCGTAAAGATTTATTTACAGTCTAAGAAATCCTATATAGGGTGGTCTCTATAAGCTGGAATTGACTTGATGCAGTGTGTTTGATTTTGGTTTAATCTTTCTGGAAGCAGACTGCCACATCTTTTCCCTGGGGAGCAGCTGGTGGCTAACCTTCTGGTTAGCTGCCAAGTGCTGAATCACTGTGCCACCAGTGCTAACAATTGGTTGTTGTTCTTGTGGAAGTGCAGTTGAGCTGGTTCCAACTAACAAGTGACCCTGTATAGGGTTTCTGAGGTTGCAAATATTTGCATGGGAAAAAAGCCTCATCTTTCTCCCATAGAGCAGCTTGTGGTTCATTGTCCAGAGTTTATTCCACTGCACTCCCAACAACTGGTTAAAGGGTATGTTTTACTCCCAAAGTGTGCTGCAGCTAATACAGGAAAAAAAATTTAGCGTGTTATGTATGAGAAAAGCTTAGCATACAACGGGGATTTTTGGCAGCAATGACTAATAGTACATACCGATGTGACTGTTTATATAATTTTAGTATCCTATTAAATAAAGAGGTAAGGAGTCTATGAAAACATTTTTGAAACCCTCAGGCAAGGCTGGCTATATAAAAAATACCATAGACTGCTTGGGAATGTAAAGAACTGGTATATTACTACAAGAATAGAGAATAGTACCTTAGCTGATTGTGGTGTTGAGAAATTTAGCCAAGCAGGAACAAAGTCATGCTGCGCCATTTAGGTCCAGTGTCTCTTTTCAGCAAGGTGAGGCATCCAACCTCATGGCCAGGATCTGAAAATGAGAAAACTCAAATCACTTCTGCTGCTAAGAACCTGATGCACCATTCATAACAAGGTCATAACTAGAGACTGGTTGGCTCAGATGTGGGGAAATGATGTCATCAAGTGACAGTCCCAAAATATAATTTTAAAGTACTATAAAAGACGCCCAAGCAGTCAATTCTACTGTAAATGAGCCTGTGATGATTCTATAATGCCCACTTTATAGAAAGACCTGCCCTCTGAGCCACTCTAGCCTATTTATTAGGTTACATAGCTGAGATGTTCTATAAAAAGTAAGACAGTGCATGAATATATGACCATAAAAAAACACATGAACAGAAAATGTGACATGGCTCTGGAAGGGAGTATAAAAGGCAGGTGATGAAGTGTTGGGCTACATCAGAAGAATCTTAGTATATATAGACACCTACTCCTGATGAAAAGGAGGAGCTCTGGTAGCATAGAGGATTACAAACTGGGCAGCTAACTGCAAGATCAGTAGTTTGAATACACCAGTTGCTCCATGGGAAAAGAGGCTTTTTACTCCTGTAAAGATTTACAGCCTCAGAAACTCTACACAGGGTTGCTATGAGCTGAAACTGACTTGATGGCATACAACCACCACAACTTATGAAAATAGATTTATTTGTTTCTGGTACTAAGGTAACTTCTGGGAAAAAGCAATATAAGAGATCTTCCTAGAGAAGGAATTTACAACCTTTCAAGAGCTTTTCTACTTAGTTCACATTAATTTCCTCAAAGAACAAGCCATCAGTTTTACTGACAGATCCTTTGGTGTCTCCAAACCATCCCACTGATACTCTACAATATTAGTCTCCAAACTACTCCACTGATACTCTTTCAAAATCAAATACAACAAAATCAAAATACAATCAAAATCAAAGCCACAGATATTTTCTATGATACATATACATACAAAGTATTCTTTCAAAGACAGACTTAAGGAGAATATTTACCCCAGAGTATAACCTCTGTGGTCCTGTTTCCAGAGCTCCTTGAGTCGGCCAGCTGGATCTCCCACGAGGTTATCCTGGTAAAAGGGTCTTAAGTAGCTTGGCCAGTAGCGCACGTTTTGTGATGAAGCACAAAGAAGCCAGGATCTGTGTGGATCACTCTCTCAGTCCCCTCAATTGTCCATCTCAAACTATCAAGTTTCTGACACTTTCCCAAAAGGGGGGAGGGGAAGGGGAAGGGGGAAGGGGAACATAAAAAGGTATTTGTTACATTTAAAAAGGGGGGAAGGGGAAATATGTCTATGTTCACCTCATTCAACTTCCTTGAGTGATAGCTGCTTAAATAGATAATACATGGACATTTGCACAGTGAGTGCAAACACTGTTCATAACAAGGTCATAGCTAGAAAGACAGGTGGGCTCATGGGACAAGTGATATCATCAAGGTGATAGCCCAAAAATATAATTGTTAAATGATATAAAAGATCTTCTAAGCAGTCAACTCCAGTGGCAAAATATCCACATATCAAATCTCTTAAAATATAAATCTCATTCTTACACAATTGCTAAAAATAGTGTGTAGTTACATATCTATATTTGCCTTATTCTTAAAAATCTAGATATAAGAAATCGTTTTTTTTTTGTTTTTTTTTTAAAATCAGACAGGAACTTGATATACTTTTCCTTCCATAGAACAGCAATTTTCAAGGTAAATTTCTTGGTATAAAGCTTCCAAATGTATCTTCAATTTCTTTGGTCTTCGCTATTTATAAATGTAGAGCAAAATTAAAACAAGCTGAAAAACAGGGGGTAAGGAGTAGAAAGTAGATAGTTCTAAAGCAAGGATTTCTTTTCAGTTTTCTGTCTTTTTCCTGAAGACTGAATTCAGCGTCTGAAAGGTGGTTATGAAGAATCTTCTACAGCTTCAGTAGAGAAATCACTTGTTATTTTTTAATCCATTTTTACACTACTCAATTATTTAAAATATCACAGGAATCGTCACTCTGTAAGTGAAACAAACAAACAAACAAACATTATAAAGTTAGCATGAGAGGTAAAAATCATTGTTACATATAATTGTTAAAGACAGTTAAATGACCAATCAAATCAAGGTCTTGAAAGTCAAAACTTTGAAGTCCAATTCATTCATTTTTTCCTACATATTTATTTGTATTTCTCTACCATGAATTTGGAGTCCTGGTGTGGTGCTGTGGGTTAATGTGCCAGACTGCAAAGCCGTTTGAACTGCAAGGTCGGCAGTTCAAGGTCACCAGTCATTCCTTGGAAACCCTATGCAAGGTCGCTATGGGTCGGCACTTAACAACAACTATGAATTTAATTATCAATAAGATTGATTATCCTTCCATGATTGCTTGTTCATACCCTATGCTCTTTTTTTTTTTAAACAGGTCATTCATCTTTTTCCTATCAATTTGAAAAAATCTTTATGTATTAGAGAAATTAACTTTCAACTCATTTTTCCCAAATTAACTTTTTGTGATTTAGGCTTGCTTTTGTTGTATTGTACTTTTGGTGAAAGCTTAAAAAGCAAATTAGTTGATGCGAATTTTGCTTCTTGACATTGGTTGCAATCCCCTCAAATGGAACAGCACTGTTCCCTCTTCCTTCCTGGGTTCCTTATTTTCATTAGTCCTTTCTTTCCTGCCCCTTCCTGTCTACTGAGTTATGTTCTGGACCAAATGCTTCCCCCTTTAGACAATTATGATTGATTGTGCTGAAAAGAACATTACTAACTACTATTAATTCTATATAGGTCTGTCTATTGCTTGGCTGAAAGTTAATTCCCAGGTGTGGGTTCAGTTATAGGCTTGAAGGGTATGGAAGGTATTAATTTAATTTGTTAATACTTATATCAAAATAACACAACTGGGTACAATTATTTTTAAGAACTTTGGAAAAGTCACCTGGAATATCAGAGGATTTGCCTTCTTACATAATAACCACTTCTCCAATCAAAGGTAATTCATTCAGAAGTGCAAATTAATGGATCTTTTAGATATACTCTCATAAATGGAATGTTATTGTTGTTAAGTGCCATCAAGTTGGTTCTGACCCATAATGATCCAGTATAGGGTTTCCGAAGAGCAGCTGGTAAGCTTGAACTGCCAACTTTGCGGTTCAAATGGCTTTGCAATCTGGCGCATTAACCCACAGCACCACACCAGGACTCCTTTTGCATTAAATGCTCAAAGAGTCATACTGCTTGCTGATTTACTAAACCTAGTAGTGTAAATGCTAAGTACTATCAACAGCTGGATCCTTAAAATAAGGTATCTTTTATACTATTTCTCATACATTTACATGATACATATTCTTAGGCTCCTTAGTCATCAATTCAGAGAAGTAAGTGCAAAGATCTGACTTGAGATATAAAATGAGAGAAGACACAAAAATTACTGTGGCGAATTTCCAAAATTCTTCTAGTGGCTAAAAGGTTTTGTTTTGTAATGTAAGAGAGCAGTTGCTTTTTTTTATTATTATTATTAAATTAATTTTTTTAGCTGTTTGAGTTTACATGGGAGAACATTAGCTTTACATTCATCCTATCTTATAGCGTTACACTGCCATGGTTACAATCCCTTCCATGCATCATCAACCAACCAAAGGGTACACCCCGCAAGTCTGCCTCCTGATCATCATCAGCACACAGGCCCTCTCCCTCTCTGGGTCTAGAGTCCCCAGCTGCTCCATCTCTCCACATCATCGTCTCTGCCTCCATCTATGGCATCACTGCTTCTCTGGGTAGGGTCCCGCTCTCAGCTCTTCTCCCTTCATGGTCCCAGGGACCTCTGCTCCTAGACTGCAAAGTTAATCACTCCCCTCCTTGCTACAAAATGTCTACCTTTACATTTCCAACCCTAACAAGCAGTCCTGATAACAATTATTCACTATTGTATCACAAGAGACCTATCCACATTTCCTTTTCTCAGCTCCGCCCAGACATATTGGATACTACGCAGTGGAGATTCTACCTTCCTCCATGCCCTCTGGATCTAGGTTCCCTCTTGAAAGCTTGTAAGCCAGTCACTTCTTGCCTTTGTAGCCCTCCCACTTTGGGTAGCCAGTGTCCAAGTTGCTCACCCCTGTCTACTCTGTGTATGGAGGGGTGGGTGGGAATGATCCTTGCTGTAAGACTTGTTCCCACTTTTGAGCTACTGCATCCATAGGTATAGGTCAAGTTCATCAAATTGTATCAGATTACTCTTTTTTTCCTCTTCTTTCTTCTTCTGGTTGAGCCCTGATCATCCAGTCATTGAAGCCAGGTCAAGTGGGTATTATCTGTAAGTGTGGGTGTTCTTGTGCATATGCCCTCTTTTCTTATCAGCTGGACACTTCACTCTCTACTCTAGTCCTCTGTGGCTATGTCACTGACTCTGGGCCCAAGAGTACCCAGGTCTTGCCACACTGCTGGCCAACCAGGTCTCCACCCAGGTTCACAGGAGTCTATTGAATGTGGTAGGGTTTAACTTGCAGCTTCATTGTTGTTTTTCCCTTACTTCCCTTTATCGGTGATCAACATGGTCACTAGTCAGAGAACGTGTCTGCTCGTGTATTCCCATTGAGTCTTAGTCTTGGAAAGGGGTGAGAACAGTTGCTGTTGTGGGCAATTCTGGTCTAAACTGATAAATTCTCTCAGTTTGGAGAATATGTCTCATATATGCAGTTAGCAGACTTGTTGTATTATTTTAATTTCATAGAAATAAGAAACACCAAAGTCAGGACAGTAAATACCTCTGTGAGGAAATGAAAGGACAGTAATCAGAAGTAGTTCCCAGAGAGCTTCAACTGTATCAGTAATGCATTGTTTCTTAAATTCAGAGATGGTACAGGACTACTCATTTATTTTCTCCACGTTTTACGAACTTGTAATAGATAATTTCCCAAGCAAAAAAGTAAGTAAAAGATATGAGTAATATAATTTAGAAGTTGAAATATATCATCCAAATTATATATTCCTTGAGCACACATACAACAGTAATAAAAACTGCCCATCTAGAGAACAAACAAGATGGCGAATCGGGTAGAAGTGCAGTAAAGGAGCTCCACCAACAACAACACAGAATACCCGACTAAGCAGGCTCAGGGGATGGTCCCAGAACTCTGAATCATATATAAAGGAATATTTAGAAGGTTGGAAGGCTTACAGCAAAGGGAATTTGTGGCAGAAGTAAGAAATCCATTACTTTCTTATTTGAGATGCTCAGCTGCTAGAGGAGCCGCCATCTTGGGTGAGACCAAGCGGGGGAAGGATCGGAGCAGCCACAGACACACCTGGCAGAACCAGAGAGATAAAGGTGTGGACATTCTTCTCTTTTGGTAGCTGTTCATTGGTCCCTTGCTGTCTGCGCACCTCCATTCAGGTGACTATAGGGGGGCCTGAGCTAGTGGGCACCCTAGCCCCACTCTTGGAGGGTTCTACTACGCATGTGCACAGATCTCCTTGAAATTTAAAGAGACAGTTTCCAATTAAAACCAAATGGCCACAACCGGCCCTGAACTGTTTAAAACTAGAAAAGGGGCCTTAACGGGGACTGTGGATCAGGACAAGCAGACAAAAAAAGAAATAGGCCAAAAGTTAAATCCTAAGTTACGTCAAAATGACCAATAGTGGCATCTTGAAATTTCTCAAGAAGAAGAGTGAAAAGGGAAGCCCATTTCCTGATCACATCTACCTGGAGGCAATCAGAAAGAATGAAAAATACCAAAATGCATACCCATATGAGTATAAAGGCCACAGATAACCACGGAATATGCCCAAAAAACAGAAGCAGATGACCATATCTGCACATGTCCAGAAACAAGATAAAGTGACTGAGGCAAATAAGCTGGAAGCAGACCTACACTACATACTGGAAGATGGGCAGGCATTGGAAATGCCTGAGAAGGGATTCAGAAAAATGATTATAAAATGTATCAAAACACTATACAATGGAAATGAGAAAAATAAGGAAAAAGTCAGAAAAGCCCTACAAGAACAATCAAATAAGATAGATACAGCATTGGAAACAATTCAAAACCTACAGAAAGAGGTCCAAATGATTAATAATAGAATATCAGAAAT